TTTATATATTTTTTTTGCATTTACGATGGCATTTAATTAATCAAGGCAGTTGCTCCATTATGTTAACTACTCTCATAAAAATTCAATTAAATTCACCTGAATTTTTTTATACTCCAAACAAAAGAAGTAATTTACTATATATTTTGCGTTAAGTATTTTTAGCTATTAAACATATTTTTTCGCATTATAAAAATTAGCAGCATTAATGGCGTAACGTATACGCCATAAACCATAAAATTATTTAACATTATGATAATGTAGTGACATGGCTCTGTTAATTTAAACACATTAACTGTGAGCAGTATCGCCAATAAAATAACGACAGTTGCGCTCGTATGAGCACAGGAGCAACTCACCGTTACCGTAACTATTCGCACTAGTCATATGCTTAGATACTTTATTGAGCTTGTAAATCTTTTTGCATTCGCTGCTCAAAATTTACCAGCACCGGGCACCGGTCCACTTATGTTGGAGTGGCTTAGGCTCAACTATGCGAGTGTGCATTTTGATATATGGCGCCAGGCTTTAAGTGGCAGTTAACGTTAACTTCAGTCCATTATTTCCTACATTCTTGAACCTAATCTTAATGGCATTATTAATCATGACTTAAATGCCAAACATGTAAGTGTCGTCCTTACTCAAAGCGAAATGACATGAATCACGTGCAGAAATGGGCAGTGCATATCACTGCAAAATACCTTCAATAGTATTCGAGAAAAGACTAGTGTTTTGTTTTAAGCTCTAATGAAACTGTTTATGTCACTAAAGCGGGTAAGTAATCAATTTTAAATTTCAGTAATAAATACTATGCAGATATGAACTCAATTCATTAAGAATAATATAATCGATTTACTCATTACTTAGTTGAGGAGTACATGGAACTCGTCGAGTTTGGTTTAAAAAATATTCCTCCTAAGCAATAAAAGTGTCTTTAACTATGCTTATGCGCTGTACATGTTTATAGCTAAAAAATAAAATTAAATTAGAAATTTTAAAAAAATTTAAACGAGCTTTAAAAATTGTAACATCTGTTTTGACGAAAGAAACTAAATTCTCCATTATTATAAACTATTGTTTTCAATAGTTAGGTTTTTATTAAACAGTAGTGAATTACAACATTGACCATAGCTGACCATACAGCTGTTTTAAGTATGACCACTACCCATAATCAGCGGATTTTGAATTATTTCTTATATTTAATTATTCATAACAAGGGTTACGTACCCTTGAAAAAAGGGTTGAACCCGTAGGTAGTCCAGATTGAAACTCAGCGTCAGTGTTCATTAAAATAAACAAAATGTTAAAACTAATTTAATATATATTTTTATAGAAATACTTTAAGCACATTTTAAATACATTTACATAATACAAGCAATTTAGGGTACATATGCAGAAATGTTTATTGAAGATTATATTGCTAAAATTTGAAAAGATTAAAATTTACAATGATTAATTTAATTTATATAGCTGTTGTTTATGCATTTGATCCAATTAGTAATACAGTAATTATGAGGTCTGTTTATACATAAACAAAATCAAAACTCTAAATTTATATAGCAATAGCACGTTGATTGTGTGCGTTAATACCCAGATCCACGGTTCAAATTCGAAGGAGTTAAATTCCCGCGACTTTCAGCCCCCAAACCACATACGGAAAATAAAGACAATAGATGTTTCCAAATATCGCTGATTATGCGATGATTTTGTGAAATCCGAAATAGCTGCAAAATCATGACAAGAATTCAATTGATTAAAAATCAAAAAAAAATATTTTTGTTTGACAACTTTCTTAGAGAGAGGAAATTTTTATTATATATAGTAATTATATTATTATTATTAAATAATTATAAGTAAATGGTATTGAAGACTTGTCTTAAATATTCGGTTCACTGTCGGATGTAATATTGTTAAACTAGACAAAAAAAGAAGCCAATTTTGAGATATTCCCCGATCCGTTATGAGCGTTATATCTTCAACCCATATAAAATTTCAATTAATTAACTTTCCCTGTTCTACATTAGCATAGGGCAAGCTCGTCTTTCTTAAAAAGTGAACCAATATCATTAAAATAAATTTCCAAATTTCTTAGACAATAATTTCTTGCAATTATTCTTTGGATATTTTTTAAATAATTATTTAATATTTAATATCAAATAATCCTTGAAGTGATTCAAATTTGTGATTTTTATAAGAGGTTTTAATTGCAATAACTCTGGTAAATTGCCCAAGTGCAGCAAGACTAGTCTTTCTCTAGTAAGTTTGTCTGTAATTTCGTTTTAGATCTTCCGATATTCATACGATTCATATGATTCAAAACTGTTTGTTTAAATATTCGATAGTCTTATTCCCACCTTGTCAATAACTTGACAAGGTTATTGAGTACCTTAATTGCTGCTGGGCTATCACTTTTAAGAGTTATACTGGAGTCACACTAAAGTTTCGATTGTAATTTCAGCTGTCAAATATTTTAAACCGACATCTGAAATCAAAAAGCAAAAACATCGATTCACTCGACGTTTTCAGATTAATTAAATACCAGATTTAATGTGATTATATTATCGCACTGTTTACTTTCACAAAATATATATTTTGCACATATGATATATATATATGTGATAAAGAACAGTTGAAAACTTCATTCATTCCTTAAAATCACTCCAATAGCAAAAGCTTTTAGTGCCCAAAACTATACTAAGGTGAACTGTACAAGTTAAAATCAACTTTTGTAGAAATTACGATTTAATTCTATTTTCAGTTGTCAAAGTTCCTATATAAATCTTGATTTGATTTAAATTTGTTTTGCTATCAAAATCAGGACTAATCCGAAATGACAGCTAGAATTACAATCCAAACTCTCTTGTGAATCGAGTGTTACGTTCAAGTAACATTGATTCCTGTTTTACTTATACGTCAATTTCTATATACACGTTATTTTTATTCATCAATTAATATTTGGCTTGCATATCACTTCTTTTATGTGTTTGTGTAATTAATTATAACTGTGCTCTATAATTATTATTTTATTTATAATTTTAATTAATTAGTTTTTAATATATTTGCTGCAACTTTATATATTTTACTGGTTGAAAATTCACATAGCTTGATATTTATGCAATTATTATTTGTACAATAAAATTATTTTATTTTTGTTCCATAATATATTATTAAAACAAAATCAAAAATAATTAATTTAGTATCTTAAATACACATTCACATATTAATATATATTTTTGTCGGCATTCAATCATTTTTATTTACTCATATTATTTACTCAGATTTGTTAAAAGAATTAATTTTATCGCTCATACGCCATGAACGAGTAAAATGAAGAATGAATATATCAATTTTAATTACATTTATTTAAGGTAAAAGAAGAAAAACAAAGAAATTGTTTTTAAATTTAAGTTATATTATAAATCATATTTTGAAATACGAAAAAATATGTTTTGGTTTTGGTGTTGCAATAAATTTCTGTAACTATGAAGAAGAAACTCATAAAACTTTTTCATATTTTTCATTTGCAGGCTCTCCGAAACCCACTGTCACTTGGTTAATGAATGGCCAAATCCAAAATAGTGTCGTGGATTACACACACGTTAACAGCATAAATAGCAAATTAGTGGTGCGAAATTTGTCACGAATTCACCAGCATGCGGTGTATACGTGCCAGGCCAGCAATTTCCACAAGAAATATGTCTCCAACAACATAACAATCGAACTTTACTGTAAGTATTGTGTCAATATATATATATATATATATATATATACATTTATAAACCAGAGCAACGAAACACAAAAAGAAAAAAAATCCAGAAGCGACTATAGCGCTTTTAAAATAAAATATATTTTTTAAATATTTTTCCTTAATAGTTTTTTATATACGAGGAAAGTAGATATAATTGGAACATTGTTTACTCTAAGGGAACGCTAAGTCTTTAAATTTAATGATTTAATGATTCAAGATTAGTTTTATTTTTATTCAACCTCTTGTCTTCTATAGTCATATCATTTAACTTCTTTCTACTGGCATGAACTATGAGACTATAAGCTACTAGATTTGGAAGCGTGATTAATAAGACCATTAGATTTCATTTTTCGGTGATGTAGTATAATTTGGTTAATTAATTAGTCTAGTTTAATTATTACTTCTGATTAATAGTTTCAAAATTTTGACTAAGATTATTACGAGCTCGACTCCACGAAACCTAAGAAGTGCGAAACTACTACTTACATAGCAATTGATGTTATTATAGGGGAATTAAAATCAACTAAGCTTCTGAGATATTTAAAAACTAAACTACATTAATACTCAACGTAGTGGGTTTGCAATTATCTTCAATTATTAAAATGCTTTTTATCTATTCGCAAATAAATAAGATTACTAATTTTGGAGGAAACTTTTTCAATCGCTTATATTTTGCATCATTTCAAGAAATAAACAAAATAAATGATGTAGTTTTATTTGATCTCAGATATCGCCTTCCAACACTTTTACAAGGCTGAGAAGGAAAACATCGAGAGACATTTTAGATATGTATATGTAGGTCATACACTTCTATTTTAAATAGATATGGATATGTCACTGGGCATAGTTCATACGCGCCTTTGTTTAGATCGTAAAAACTATTATTACGATTTATATTTATATATATTACTTATTGTCATTTATAACTGACAGATTGTAATAAAATAAATGCAGTTTAAAAAAAAATATTGATTTAATTTTAATCATAGTTCCGAATTATTTATTAAGTAAATTTACTTAGAGTCAGAAGACAACTGTTATGCATATAGTAGGTCGTGAAAAAATATAAAGTCTATTTGAATGTGCTTTCTTAACATAATACTTATTCTGAAGTAATTTAAGTTAATGCCGATAATTTTATCCTTTCAAAGTACAGGACCTCAAAAGTCGGTCAGGTTAGGGAAAAAATTCAATGGTTTAAGACCACACTGAAACTTTGGCAAAACTTAATCTCAATTAGAGTATTGTATATCCTTTTAATGGCACGTGGCCAATGTACACATAGATGTCTACATATCATTAAGTCTTCCCATCTTTTATTAAAAAGTACAGCATAGAATGATCTCAGTAACAGTTTACATATTTCCAGCGATATGCACAGATCGTAAAGGTGTTCTAAGGTGTACCTTTTACTTAAACGATACTATCACTGAACACTAATACACCGTGATGTTAAACATATTGTAGGATGTTTGTGTAGATATAGTAGGATGTAGGATTATGATGTTTAGTATTTAGTATATTGTAGGATGCACTTTACCAATTTCTCTTTTCTTGCACGGTAACACTTCAATCTCAACTGTTTTTTTTTTCTTTAATGTAATGCGAGTGACATATGTTCTAACCATTTGTTCTCTAAACAACATTCTAACCTTCCACAAAAAACCAAATTAAATTTGTCTAATAATTTGTCCAAAACCAGTGTTTCAGATTTTTAAGCTGAGTTTAATAATTTTGCTCAAGTCTCTGGTTGCTGACAGTGATAAAAAATTATGATTATATTTTTCAAACTTTATTTTTATTATCCTTTTAACCTTGGGTTGATTTAACAGTTTATGTGAATTTCAAATTAAGTACAAATAATTTTTTTCACATTAAAATATTTGTTTATTTGTTTGACTTTATCTATTGTCGTTGTGGTTTTGTCATGTGGCACATTCATACATGAATAACAACAACAACAGCAACAACAACAGCAACAACTAAGCTGAAAGTAATTTTGTGAAAATATGCTGGTTGAAAAAAGTTTCCTATTAGAACAATAACAATTGAAATATCAACGAAAGCCAAATGTTGGACGATGCAAAAAATAAACAAAAATACTAGTCCAAAATGTCCTAAAAACAAAAATAATAAAAAAATAAATAAATAACAAAACAAAAAAAAAATACAACAAAAACAAGAACAATTTAATATATCGATGTTTGGGGGATTTTGTACTTGGTATAATCGTTCTAACAAATAGCTTCGCAGATATCACAGACAACAATGGGGAATTGCCGTATATTATGTTAGTATACAAAATTATTGTTAGTACTTATTTATCTATTAGATACTCGTATTAGAAAAGAATAGAAAGCATAAATATTTCTGTGCAAATATTGTTTACTCGTCTTATTGTTCACTTGCCGAGTGCTAAGCAACGAGCAATGAACAACGAGCAGTGTTGGAAAGGTTTAGGAAATGTAACTATGTGCGTATTTGCCTGATAACGTTTGCACTTCCTTCAAGGAAATTTTAATACTTTGCGGTTTTGTCGTACAAGATAAGAGAAGATAAAACTTTTGAAAATGTTGTTTACTAAAATTTTTTATTTATTAAGAAAAATTTACTGCTATCATTTGGCGAAGTTTGCTTGTTTAGTTGCATTGCAATGCAGAAAAATGTCTGTTCTCAAGATGTTTTGTTTGGGATAAAAATGTTAAAGTAGAAAAGTTTTATTTACGAGTATAACAAACTTATTTCAGTTGAAGTATTTTTGGAAGACATGATTAAGTTTTGGAAAAATAATTCGACTAAAATAGGAATGAGTTTCTATCAACAAAACAGTCCCAGATCACGTATATTATTATTTTGGTATTTTGGTTAGGAAGTTAATGATATATAGTTTACATGACTTAATGTTTTCAGGACTAAAAGATTAATAATATCACATTAGTGTTGATACAAGAAAACAAAAATTAACAAGGAAGGCAAAGTCCGGAAGATGACTTAGTCAAATAAGCAACCAAAATTAAAACCTTCCATGAAACTCCTTCATTGAAATTGAAGAATACTTTTGATCGATAAAACCAACTATGAGAGATTACTTGCAGTGAAAGTTAATGAGAAGTTGAAACAGCGCATCGCTGCAATTAAACTGTCGTCTATTACTACCTTAGTTGACGACTCTCACTATAACTCAAATATGTGAAATATACGTGAAGTGATTAGACATCAGTGGAATCTTAGATTGGCACACGTTTTTCGATTTATCCTTTTGTTATGCATTCAGGTCGGTATATTTCACTAACGTCTATCCTAACCAATAAATAATGACTCCTTTGAAGATGAGTCGTGGTAGCATTGGTTAAAACCCAAATATATGCAGGTGAAATAATTACATTCATTTACCTTTATTTAATGTGGAGTTTTATGGTCCAACCAGGTTAGATCCAGATTATTTTTAAAAATTTGTAGTGTCAAACCTTTTCCAGGTTCTACTTCTGAATGCGATAATAAAATGTTCATCTAAAAAGCTCTTTTGTTAATTTTACATAATAATCAAACTTCAAAAATTACTATTAATGGCTATCTGCAAGATATTTAGAATAAGCTTTCATACATTTCTTGTCCTCAAATTATTTCATAGAATAGAAAATTGTATTATAATAGACAACAAGGAAAGAAGGATTTCAGAAAGTTTTACAGGAATAGTGTTGATAAATTCAGACTAAGACAACTTTAAACTATCATTAAAGGTTAAAATAATAGAGCCCAACAGCCAGAAGCCATGTAATATCATGAACAGGATCAAATGAGTGTCCCGTTATCTACAAATCTATTCTTATCTAAAAACTATGTTGTCCTTTCCAATGAACTGCATTCTAATATATTAGTTTTTTACTGAAATGAAAAATATTTTTTTTTAACTAAATAATTACCCTTAAATAAACTGCCTAAATTGTATATAGAAACCGATCTCTTCACTTTACCTCTGCAACAAAGTAGTTTCCTTTTACAATGGCCTAGTACTGCGTTCCTTTTTTACCTATTTCGTTACTTTTAGGAAGAGCCAAACAACGCATATTTTTAGTCAAAGGACCTTTGGGACATTTGTTCGGTTAATTTTGACTTTATTTGTGATTTTTTTTTTTTTGAATTAATATGAAAACGAATTTCTTGATGGCTGTCAGCTAATGCGATATTGTCTGACTTTTTACTTTTGTGGCTTTCGCTATTGTTGTATAAGCCTTAGATACATTCCATTGTTTCTTATTGTATTGACATGTGTACGCCTGACTAGATACAAAAATTAACACATGGGTAATGAAGCAAAAAACGTCAAAACGTCAAACACACACGATAAAGTGATTAAATAAATACAAATATTAACAATTTCCTTTTGAAAAGTGAAGGTAGAAGAAAAATATTTAGAAAGTTTCAAAGTTGATTGCTGAAACGTACTCGTTGGATTGATTTTATTCTTACGAAGTTATTTATGAAATAAAAATACCAAACTAATTATAAAGTGTGTCAGATTCATTCAAGTAGATTAGAATTAAATAAATTTAATTTTGTGAATTAGTATATTAGCTTGAATTAAAGTTCAGTTAATTTAAATACAACTTAAAATGTGAACTTCATTAAACAAAATATATATGGAGTGTGTGTACGGGATTAGTATAGTATTGCTTACATATAATAACCATATAAACCTATCATTTGGGATCAGAATTCAATATAAATTAAAAACAGCAGAATTTAAAATCTATTAACTATTGTTATATGAAATTATTAAATATTAAAGCATTGAATTATTTAGTACTATTACTTATATTTAAACTGCCACTCTTTCCATAAAATACGCACTAAATCCTAACTATAATATTATCATATCAAGAGTATATTGATCCTCATTGCTTACAACTGTCATCAGGATTTTGATTGCATTTTCAGGGCGCAAAAACCTTTTAGTTTACAAAAAATAAGAAAAACCATAAATATTTTGTAAGATAGTAGTTTTTATATAAACTCTAATGTAACTATATTTTAAATCAAAATGGTATTAAAAAATGCTCATCAAAAAATATCTCAAAACTACAAAATGCGATAAAATTAGAATGTATCTGTATATAGGAAAAGTTTTGTTCATTTCTATCCTCCTCCATCAGCAATTTGTAATTTTTTGTTATTTCAGAACTTTATTTATAATATATATAATATATAATAAAACAGTATATATAATCTAATATTCTAATGTTAAGGATACTGTTTCCATATGTAACAGCCAAAAGAAAGATTTAATTTCATTTGTTGTAGAGTTTCTCCATTTGTTGAATTTTTACAAGTAAAAGAAACTTCTAATGAAAAACAGTTGTATGACCAAAATGAAGAGGTCTTTAAGTCTTTAAGTAAATGTTCAAAAAATATATTTATTAGATACAAAAATGTTTAAAGACAAAAATGAAGTGGACATATCAAGCAATCTTACTGTAAGCAGCTATATTTCCACACAAAACGTTTAGAGCAGTCTTAGGTGGTCGCGGTATGCATTGGTGCAAATGACATTTCTCCATAGCATGCTGGAATTTACACATAAATCCCCGTTCACTGCCGATTGGACCCACTTTATAGTCACAATAGTAACTATATGTTTTCGCAATTTCAATGCAACACTCAAGTGCTCCTTTTTCAAAAGCTATCCAAGACTTGAGTGGTAGTAGATTTATTTGTAGGTTTTGGCGAATAATACCGGTAACAAAGATATCATCAATCCAAAAGAATGGTGTCTTCTGAGCTTCTTTCGCTATGTATTTTGATGTCAATAAATTTGTTATGTAAAACCAACCAGATATATAGTCAGGATAAACACTTTCTGAATATTCTTCCATTGGAACATACCATTTGCTTGTCTTATTACGACTTGGTTTACCAGCTCTAAATAGTGCACCAGCTAAAAGTTCACTAGATGAATTGTATGTAGGATTCTTCACTAACTCGTTTAAGTAATTATGAATATGATACACATCATAGATAATATCATCATTCATTTTAATAACGAACTTAGCATTTGCACATTCATAGCCTGCCCATCGTAGACCCATGATATGTTTATAACTTAAGTTGCGGTAGCTGTCAACAAAATTTCCTTGCACTAAATCGTCAAAGCGTTTGTGTTCATGTTCCAAATGTGCCTGTTTTATGAAACCTTCTGTAGGTGGAATCTTGGCCAGCAAAAATACTCGCTGGAATCCTAACTTTGCCAATTTGCATTGCGGCATAGCCTGACGATGAGCGGTACGAAGTGCAGTATTTGTCGCAGTGGATGTGACTAAAATAATAGCTGCAAAATAAAAAGGACTTCATATTAAAAGAAAGGTAATCGAAAATAAAAAAAGTTGAGCAAGAAAGAAATTATTAATGAAAAAAAGAATATTTAAAAGTTTCTTAAAATCTGGAACATCTGGAAGTGAATAAAATAAAATAGCTCATATGAAGACGTATTAATTTTTTTTAAGTTAATGCTTAATAGGTGATATAAATTCGGAAAATTTTCGTAGACCTCTGCCAAAGAAAAGTTTGAAGGTCACACATAAATCATTTTAGTTATCTTTTCTAAAAGTAGAAAATAATGAAATCATTACAGAAGATCAAACTAGAGTCTGTTCTTTAAGTTCATAGTTTTACAAATATGAACGTCTGATGTATGAAAACGTTAAGCTTTTAAAGACAAATTTGAAGAGTGAGAAGTGGACCTTAATAGAACTTCCTAAGAAGCTAACTTTAAACAGAAAACACACATATAGAGTTCAATTTTCGAGCTCCTCTCTGAAGCAAAACTCAACTAAGTGGTAAATTTCTTATGCTCAATAGGCGTAAAGGATACCATGCTTACTACTCGTAAATTTGTCATTAGGAAAAATAGGCAACTTACCGAGCAAGTCCTTTCCATACATACGACATCGTTCGTTGTTGAGTGCATAATCGAAGTTTGTTAAATTCAATAATTCGCTAACATTATATGACGGTTCGATCGCTACCTGAACTTCCACATTAGGAGTTATGATATTAAATGAAATCAGCAAAAGACATGTGATGGAAAAAAGTATTAGAAATATTTTTGGAAAAATATTTGCACTATTTAAATTTGGAATAGCCATTTTATGAACGATATACTATGAATATAATTTACAAAAAAGAAAAATATTTATTTGTATTATAACAAATAGTAAAATGGTAATTTGATTTAAAAACTGAGTTTTAAAAAAAAAAGATTTGATTCTATACCAACTTACAAACAAGTATCTAACTTAACCTTAATACAGATAAGAGTCATTTTACTAGATCCATGTTTTTAATGGGCTACTCTTAGTATATGTATTCTTGCGAACCAATCTAGTTTTTCTTTCGATTAATAATCAAGTTATAATTTGTTATGAAATCAAAAACTGTCGTTTACATTCAACAAATTCATATTATATAATATTATCATATCATATAATATTATATTTCTTATTAATTGCTATATATGTTAAAACACTTTCTGTTGGATTGTTGCGTAGTGAAATTGGCAATAGAGCTTCACCGTCTGTCCAAGTAGTGCATAGGCATCGATTAATACCGTACACACAGTCATGAGGTTTTGAGATTAACCTACGGAGTTAATTAACGAGAATATTTTTACAACATCTATGTTTGAGATATCCACATTATTCGCTCATTATTTCGTAAATCTTATTTCTGCTGCTTAAGAAATCAAGTTTTTGAAACATCTTTACCATTCATACTAAGTGAAAACGATGATGCAGTCTCTTGTCTGGTCTAAAATCTTCGAAACCATAATAAGTCATTGATGGATATTGAAAGAAAACCTTGATGACACCTGATCAGTTTTATACGATTGACCGCTATTATACTTACGAAGCAAGAAAATTATGACGCTTATAAATTAAGTGGGCATGAATTAATTATTATGAAAAACGACTGTTGTGTTGCCGGACAAGCTTGGGAGCGTTTCGAAGAATTTAAAATCTCTTAAGAAATCTTTAATGTTATTTATGGCCTCGTCTAGCAACTAAATAAGATAATTAGTTATTAGGGACTAGGCACTAGTTAGAAATATATTAACAGTATGTTCCTAGAGTACCTAGAGTACCTATACCGGTCGTGTGTTGCAAGTACAGATCTCACTGCCATACACACTTCTAACACAAGTGTCGGCGTGGCATCGGGATTTTAGTCGATATCTGACCTCGGGAATATTCTAACCTCTTCATAGCAGGTGGAATGCTAGCCACTGACAATAATATAAAGTGCTTTTTTGAACTTTCTCACAGAGGTGGGAATACTGCAGATTTATACTAGCATGATTGACAGTAAGCTATTAGTGATCTTGTCATTAGTTCGATATTTAATTGGAGTGCAAAATTTTAGTTTCACTAAAACAAACTTGAGAGTCCACCTATAGTTAAATTTCAATTGAAATAGAAACAGAAGGTGGCTCATAAAAATTTGACGAATACTGATAGTTAGACAAAGCTTTTCTATTTTCTTCACTAAACAAAATGTTATCAATGAACAGCATAAAGTCACTTGCTGCAAGGAGGACTTCTATATACTAATTAATCCAGGAATAGGTACGTAGCCCGAATGATGAATTGAGAGGCTAAAACAACCCTAAATTAATTGGTGAACTATGTGCATACATATGCCTATTCATTTGTAATGCATCGTAATATGATTGAATATTTAACAAAAATATGGTAGATGCAGAATTTTATCTTCTCAAAAGTAAATTACTGACTACGAATCTGATTAGCATACAATTACAAAACCTGAGTGTTCATATGAGAGTAAATGAAAAAAATATTAACTATGGCTTTATTCTAATGACAAACAAACCAATTGTACCGCACATAAATTGTAGGGATTTTACAATATTTTTAAATGAATAATCAATGAATATTTATTAGCTGTTAATATGCATGCAACTTAATATGAGGTCCTTGAATTGCCTAGTAATTGCAATCAAAACTTTTGTTGCATAATTAAATTCATCAATTTTTTCAGTTGCTTATGAATATTTCAAAAGCTATGAGTATATTTGGCAATATACAGCCAAACACATCCACTCCACACTGCAGTTCTATAGATTCAATAGATACCTGTGCCTGCTCGGCTTTTGTATAAAATTATCTCACGTGACCATGCGTGCACATGCGGAAACATTTGTAGCACGTTAGGGTTTAATTGTGGCGATTTTAATAATTGCAAATATACAAAATTTACCTAAAACACTGTAAGTCAATTGGACCGAAATCTGTGAAAACAATAACAAAAAATTCGCTTGAATAACTAATTCGGTTCACGCCGCCATGTCCTTTGAACTGCGCCCTTCGCGTGCAATCCATTAGATAAAATGTTGCATCCTCCGTGCACGAGCGAAAATATTTTCCCACTGAATTAACAAATTATTTTGCTAATTATTTTTAATGAATTCATGTTAAGCAAAATTTTAGCGAAAATAATTTAAACTGCCGCTTGCCATTCTGATCATCCTGACCATCCCGACTATCCCGACCATCCTGACCTTCCCGGCATACGCAGGATACGCATGGTATGTATTTTCGCATTTTTGGTGTATAAATTTTACATCATCGAAATTCGTTCGAGTTAAAATTTATTAAAATTACACGAAACCTGCAATCAGTTCGGCGTTGGCATTAGTTTTGAGTGGCTTCTGATTGAAATTTTATGTTTTTGGGATTTATTCTAAAATAATTTAAGCATTTTATTAACATTTATATGCGTATGTTTGTTAGTGTGTCGGTGTACTTCGGCTGGCCAGATACATTTTATTGAATTATCTGCGTTTGTAGCGGCTTATGTTGTGTTGATGTTTAGCTGACGTACAATTGAACTTTCAATATAAATGAGATTAGTGCATATTTGATTTAATAAATTTTTAATTAAAAATTCAATTATGAAACCAAAAGGATAATAAAGGATTATTTACTTGTTTTGTATTTGTTCTAAATTCATTATTAATGTTTTTTCTCAATTAATTAGCAAATAAAATTAATTAAAATGTTGTTTCTAGTTATTTAATACATTGCTCAATATGGAAACAATTTCTTAAATAAGTCAATAATTAAATTATTCATACTTTAAGATTGGTAGAAAAAGATAAATAATGAATTTTATAAACAATGATCACAAAAAAAAATCAAATGAAGAGATTGAACATAGTTGCATTAATTTCAAAAAATTTCTCTTTTTTTTTTCTTCTTCTTATTTGGCACTACAGTCCAGTATGAACTTTGGCCTCCATCACGATTTATCTTCATCTGTCCCTATCTTCTGCTACTCTCTTCCAGTTCAGTACTCCAATCGTTCTTGCATCACCATACACGTTCTCTTCTTTTATATATATAAAATATATAAAAATTTATATAAAATTTATTTACATATATATATAAATAAATATATATATATATAAAATATCTATATATATATAAAAGAGTCAAGTTAAAATAATTTTCTGGTAGCTAGGTATGTAAGCAATCGTTAGCTCGTGGTAGGAGGTCGAAATTTCTCAAATATCTAGAAGGTTCTATCAGTATAACATTATCTTCCCACTCGGAAAGGGAAAATAATCATAACGAACTTATTGTATTGATAAAATTCTGTACAAATGTTAAATGCTAGAATTTCATTTTAATCACTTATGTCCTTCTTTTACAAATATGAACAAATATAAGATATTAATTATGTGACTACATCATGTCTAATGTCAAAATGTTTTTATATTATTGAGGTGAAAACTATTCTCATAACCAGTATATGATCGATTATATCAAATGCCGTAACTTATTTACCCTTCTCTAACTATTCATCTGTAGCAGAGTTCTGTTGTCTGTAGTTTATTCTGTAGTTATCAAAAAAAATATTGTTTATCTTCTTAGAAGTCTCAATTTACGCCCCGTCACCATAAACTTTACAATACATTGGTATAGTATTATTTTAATATATCGCTGCTTTTATTTACATATTTTTATATCTAAAATTACAAAAAAGTTTTATGTTTGTCTTTATTGGTTTTGCATCTGTCTGTGTCTTGAGTACAGAACTTAAAAGAGAGCGTAAACGTATATATGTTTCTTACTTATTTCTACTTAATTTCTTACAGGTAAACTGATTTCTATTTCCTAAATTTCAGTAATATGTATGCCGGTATGGTACTGTAGTATAATAAAACAAATAATGTGAAGTTAATATAAGATTTGTATAAACATTCGTTTAAGCGGAGATGGTCCTCTGAGTTACATATTCTTTTACATAAATTTTAAAAGAATAAAGAATTTAAAAGAATATAAAAAATTCTCATGACATTAATTACACTTTGTAGTGGCTGCTAGAATCGTTAAACCTAGTATTCTTGATTTTACTGTCTCAACGCTCAATCAGTCAATAAGCAAAACTTATGCGAACTTAAGTCAAAGCAAAATGCATAACCAACAAAATGAACAAAGTTCACCGCTTTTGTTAATTTCGTTCCTATCAAATACACAGGTATGGTTGGTTGTGAATTTCGCTTTGGCTTAAGGTCGCTTAAGTTCTTACGGTACGCACCGACTAACTGAGGCTTCAACAATTTCTCATGGATGTTACTGTGAATGTACCATCGGGAGCTAGTACCCCGTTTATTCCTATCCTACTGTGAATGTTATACATATATAATACTTAATATATTGATATATATAATACTTGACAAATTCAATAAATTTCAAGTAACAGTGATGGCATCTAATAACTATTGGTGAGATTTAAATTTTGATCGGATGTTAGATTCTTTACGGATAGACAACCAACTAACAATATTCTTGATAAACTAATGTTTATTAATTTTACGATTACAAAAAGTACATATATATTGTATATTTCTAAACTTCAGAGAGAAGGATCACCATTGTATGGTATATAAAGAAAAAAAATTTTCTCCAACAAACGTCTTTCATTCTCTAAATATTAAATTTAAAGTCATCCTATTCTGTCTCATAGACCTGCCTAACAAAACACCCATCAAAAGTCCTCTTTGTATCACTACTTTTTCCAGCAATTAAATAAAATTAATTGTTGATTTAGATTGGTAGATGTTAAAAAAAAGGTGTCTTTTAATAACTGGATAAACAAATGTATGCATTACTAACACCACAATACATGAATTAAGCAATAGCTTTTAAAATAATTTAACAAATCACACAAACAATTTTCTCTTTCGCATAATCTTTTATATGCAATATAAATCCATCAAGAAAGCGAAAACTATTTAAAGGAAAACAAACCCTCTTCGGAAGAAAATAATCATAAAATAAAATAAGAATAGCACTATTTCCTTCCTCAATTAATTAAGAAAGCCATTTTGAATCAATAAATCCTTGTAATAGTAGATAGTAGAGAGAAGCCAAGCTAGAACTAGCTAGAGGCATTTATAAAGGCAAGAATCTGGCCAATGCTAATGCTAGAGATATCACTAAGTGTGCTGAAGAAGGAGTCCCCCAGAAACTTAAGCTCCCTCTAAATCATTCAAAAATAATAAAGGTTTCTTAGAAAAGACGGTGCTTAAGACATCGGTCCAATTACGCGGTATATCTAAGCCTATATCTAAGCCTATATATCGACCTCATTTTTATTAGAGGTTACATTCTATAAATGTGTAGAATATTATATTATATTATATATTATCTATAATATATTGCGTCAGTTGGTTAAGATGCACTGACTCTGAGCTTCAAACTTTTCGAAAATCGCTTTATAAAAATTTATATTTAAGTTGAATATTTGAAGTGTATACATCAAAAAGTAAAAAAGTTTTTCTAATAAAGATACGTGTCTGAATCGCCAGTTTATATGGCATCTACATTCTAATATGAATCAATATGAATATAATTTCATGCATTTTCTTTTACAAATATAAATACATTCTGTACCAAAACTTATTCAACTTATTCTTATTATTCTAAGAGTAAACTCATTTCTAATTATTTCGTTTATGGAATATAGTAGCCCTATCAACCCAACGTACACTTAAGGATTATTTCCGAAATTATGTGTTGAAAGCACTTCGAATAACCCAAGAACTGATGAACTAATTTGAACCTTAACAGACATACTGATAGGCGGACAGGCCTAACAGAACTTAACTCTTCGAGCTAATTAAGACTATATATACGTTATAGGGTTTACAACGTTTGGTTCATTGCGTTATGAAAATCTTAACAAACTTAAATACCTTTTTTACACATTTTTTTTTGTGTGAAGGGTGTTATTAGAGGGAATACGTAATAATATGTCTACTCTAAAGCATATGTGAAAGAATGTGAATGCAAAAATATTTACTTAATTTTATATCGTAATTAAATACCACAAACAGAAAAGTTCAAAGTGAGTAAAAAGCACAAAAAATCGTGTTAAATGTGCGTTATGTGAATTACTTGTGCAGACATGCATGAAACTCGAAGCACTAAACATTAAAATTGTTTTTAAACAATGTGCATAATTTAATTTAATTATTGTCAGCTTATAAATTAAATGACTTGAAAAAATGTTTAAAATATTTTAAATATATTAAATATTTTGATTTTTTTATTTTCATTTTTGTTATTGTTATTGTTTTGGGCTTGACTCAATATTAGCAGTTAATTTGCAAAACTAAGAGCAAAAACATGGCCAAAACAGCGTTTACAACAATCAAAGCCAACTCAGCCAACAAAAACAATCCGCCACAAAAGCCACAACTTTAAAAAGTGCAAATAAGCTGCGGCTAAAAGTATGCAATGCAATTTATGCGTTTTGAAGCGAAATTAAAACAAGAGGAGGGTAATATGCTAATATGCAATAAAAATGGAATAAAATTCAAATTATTAAATGTAATAAACAGTTTTACGCAATGTTAAGCAAAAATAATTTATTTTTTGTTTATGGAATAACTATATAATAACAGTTTTAGAGAAATTTAATAAAATCCAATAAAGTTGAATTCAAAACCCCAAATAGAGTTTTTTCTGTGCAATTGTTATGCTCTGCTTGTGTAATTGTGTCTTTTATTAAAATAAGTAAGTACATGGTTTTCGCTTTTATGCACGCATTTCCATTTAATTTTTTAATTTAATATACATTTTTGTAATTTGCTGGGCGTGAACCGCTTTACGCAGGTTTTTGCGGTTTCGTATGAAAAGCCGCTTACTTCTTCGTTATGGCGTAATTAACGCCTCATTTAAATGCACACAACAGTCACTCACCTAGACAAATATTACTTAAAAAGTAATAATAAAAATAAAAACAGCAATTATGTTTTAAAAACAAAATCTGAAAAAATACAATTTATTGCAAACACCATTTCCGCTTACACGGATCGTAAATAAACGCAAATATGTTAATTTGCGGTCATTTTATAAAAATACTTTACGATGCAAAAACATAAAAAAATATTGTATTTTCATAAACTTATAAATTGTTTGACATATTATATTTGTTCATATGAACTAATTTCATATACTCTATTTGTGATTCCATATGTAACTAGAGACATGCACACATATCTGCTGACCGCATGTCCAAAGTGCCATTAATCAACTCCCTAGAATCCCATAACTACCTTGAAGCTCAAATATTTAAAAGTTAAATTTTAAAAATTTTGAGAAATTTAAAAAATATATATAAAAATTAATGGAACACTGACACTGTACCTGTGCCGATACGATGGAGAATAGGGTTAGAGAAATGATACGGGTGTAATAGGTCAAAAATATCCAAACCATTTAAAGCTTATTTAGTTAATACTTTAGAAAGGTCTACAGCGAATTGCTCTGCTTATTGCGTTGGATGGAGACAAAAGAATTTAGATAAAAGGATTGAGAGTATGGTACGACATGTGTGCGAAAATGTGTCCGAACTAGTATTTCATTATGAAAAGACGGTCCATGTGATTTTTCGAAAGAAAAAATATATTTGCTAATAGTTTTATGCAGATATCGAAACCAGATTCTACTTTTTATATCCTTTTGTTTTAAGCAATGAGATAAGAATTGCAGTTAAATCAATTTCATAGTTTTTTTACCTCTCCATTTATATAAAGACAGATTTCTTGATATGTGTTTCCTTTTGACCCATTTACTGGCCAGGTTCATTACTGAGAAGTAAAAATAAAGAGCGGCAAGGTAATAAAAGTAAGGACTATAAGAGAAGAAGAAAATGAAAATAAAAGAGGACAACTAGAAGATTCAGAATTGAAAGAGGCAAGAAAGTGAACAGTAAGTGAATGTAAAAGATTAAGAGAGATGGAGAGCGAGATAGCAAAAGAATATATTTGGCAAACTTTAATAATGATGATACCAGAATATATGTGAATGGACTGGTGATACAAAAAAACATATAATTATATACGAAAAGGTTTATGAATTTGCAATGTTTTCTATTCGACAACTTCTTACGAACTAACTTAACATTACGGATACTTAGGTATGAGAGTATTATGAGTAAATACTACACACACATTCACACATTAAGGTGATCATATCACAGAATTAAAAATATTGTTGAAATCTCGCTGTTAATAACTTCTACTGTTTTTTACAAATTAAAACGTTCCGTAACTGTCTTGAACATGAACTAAAGTTTTCGACTTATCTTACCGCCTGTTTTTGGCAATGGTTTACATTACAAAGATTCTGTAAGAAACCTATCATTTATTTTCTAACATAAATAGAATACAAGTGTTATAAATTGATAGTCTTCTTGGTGTGAATAAACAGAAGAAATGGGAAAGAAGAAGATAGAATTATGGACGAGCACACTTATTCATTTTTTTTTTATCACAAACTCTTACCCAAGGACAGCTTCACAAGTTCGTGGAATATTAAAAGGTATAGTTGTTAAAACAGCTGATGTGAACGAATTGTTGAGAAGACATTAAACTACAGTAAAATGATATAATTCCTTTTGGAAAAAAATGTTGAAATTAAAGTTATTTAGAGCAATATTGAAATATTTGCTAATACAGCAGTTTTTTTATTTTTATGTACTATAATTACTTAAAATAAATATTATTGCTTAATTGGTTTACATATATTGTCTACATATTGTTTCAAAATTTTTTTCATCTATTAAAAAAGCGTAACTATTTATTACATCGTTAGACTCAAAAAATTGGAACAAAAATATGTTATGTGAACAGAATCCATATTTAGGTATAAATTTATAGCAATAAAAACTTAAGTTATTGTTGGAGAAGAGGAAGAATTTTTTATATAGAAATGCAATGTTCTTACTATTTGGTAAATAAAAGTTCTTGTTAGTCATTGTTCGTTGGTTTATGATTGCCATTTGACAAGATTTAAATACCAAACAATTTATCCAGGATATTAAAGGACGAATTAATGTGATATATTAACACTTTGCCGTACATAACATTTACATTATTCGTTGTTCTTATTGTTGTTGCTGTAATTTTAATTTGATGCAATTAAAATTTAATTGCAACGAATTTCCATTCGATTTATATAAATGCACACAAATTTGTATTATTGTGCCTGTCAAAAAAATTAAAAAAAAATATATTAATATACGAGTGTATCTGTCTGTACAGAGAGAGTAAAAAATTTGCGTTAAAACCCAGAAAACTTTATAACAACAATATTTTGCCTGCCATAAATATTTTTTAATCCAATATTTTTTGTTTTTCATTTTAATTGCAGTGCGGCCACTTCTGGTTGAGATTTCATTCAACAATCAACCAATGTCCGCTGATCGAAAATATGAAATCGAATGTCAAGCAATTGGTTCGAGGCCACCGGCGAAAATTACTTGGTGGATGGGTAATATGGAACTGCATGCACATAGTCAGAAGGTGAGTTAATTATTTTGTAGAGTGCAAATGAGTAAATGCATTAGCACAAATCATTCTTGCATTATCTGAATTCGAATGGCATGGAGTGAGGTGAAAATATTATATACCCGTTCACCCAATCATAAAAACTAATTTACAATTTCATAGAATGTATCGAAACCAGAATTGCTCGGCTACATTTTAATGCATGCTGTAAGTGAGTTTACCTCGCGAGATGTTGATATTCTCTAGTGCCAATTTTATATATGCAAAGTAAGAGATATATTCCCTAGACTGCTTGTTTTAATCTTACTTCTTAACCGTTGTTTTTATATTGTCTTGAATTTGTCCCAGAAGACATAAGTAGGTCTACTTGATTGCTTATCTTAATTTTGTATATGATATACAGTTATTTGTTAAGTCAAATGATAAGGGAAACTACACATCTTGAGTAGGTCCATAACTAGAAATTAAGAGGAGTGCTTACAGATCAACAATTGTTTAAATGCAATCTCTCAGTGACTCGAAATTTTATTATTTTTCCTAATAGAAAACAATCTATAAACTTTAGCTACTTGGTACTTGTAACTAGTAGAGTAGTAGAGTAGACAAAATCTTAAAATAATTAAAATACTCTCCACATAAAGACCTTCTGTGCGAATTCACAAAACAAAAATTCCACCTATGAGAAATATAATATTAAACTCTTATGCACCAATTGACATTACCAATATATGATATTAAAAGTCCAGAAAAATGTTCTACTAACAAAACCAAATGACGTGTTATTTTGCTTGTGGCATCATCTTGTTAAAACCACAAATCGTCTACATTTTCAATTTCTTCGAAATTGGTGATGAAGTATACGTAACGATCAGAATTGAAGATTTGTGTGATACCTTTGCTATTTAACGAATGGCGAAAAGTATCCACCTTTTACCTTCAGAATTCTTGTAGATAAATTATGCTTCCCACAGTTCCTTGTGGATTTTCACTAACACACATATAACAGTTTTGTTTGTTGACAGTCAACCAAGCATAGAATGAGCGTCATTATTGAAAAGTATCCACTTCAAAATTTATCTACCACAAAATAAATATTTTTTAATCAGTGTCAACAATTTTGAAATAATTGTCGGTTACCAAACAGTTTATACTATGAATTATGGAATCTTAAATAAAATAAATGATATCTATATGGCGTTTTGTTTGACGAGTATCACTGAAGTCATGACTATCCTGCCAAGTAAGGAATGTGAATTGGACAAGCTTCCTATGTTATTTTATGTAGCATTCATCGCCGTACAGGCCTAATACTACGGTATTCAAAACACAACGTATCAAGATAATGCGCCGATAAACGCCGCATTGGAATAGCCTGCTTTATTCCGCCGGTACCAATGAGGTTTGGGTACCGGCAGTATGGGTATTAACCACCGCCACAACGAATCCGACCTCATATGGTCAAAACAGCAGAAGCTGTGGGCAATCTGCCCCTCGTAGTACCAGATATCCTGTAGTCAGGAGTCGCAAGTACAGACCTTACTTGTTACCATGTGCACTTCATTACACAAGTGCCAGACCGGCAATCCTAACCGCGGAAGAATTCTGTCCATACATTCCGCAGGGGATATGAATTGGACAATCATTTCTATTTTGTTTTCAGTATAGACAACAAATTTTACTATGGATTGTATATTAATTTAATTTGAAGGGAACTTTAGATTGCGGTATACAATTTGCGCAATTTGTTGTATAGATTGCGCTTTACAACATCAGTTATACTGTATAGTAGTGAGGTATACTGTAGTAAGTCAGTATAGTATTCCCATTTTCTCTGTTAGTAGTCTGTTAGCATATCTCTATTCTAAAAATACATTTTCTTCTATACAACTTCGAGCTTTTAATAATTTGTTTATGGTATACTTGTGGAGAAAATAAAATTCACTACATCTCAGTTAAATTTTTAATATAATTACAAACATATAGAAAAATATAAAATAAATTCGTAATACGTAATAAATCATATATCTGTAATTTACATTAAATAATTAAAGAGACAAAAAAGATATGTACAAAGCAAAGAGATGAAGATGGAACCCGATTCATGCATATTATAATTAAATAAAATTATAATTAAATGATATATTTATTAAATTTTGTAATACTTTCAATGAAATTTCACGTTTTATTCTTTTTTTAACACACAGGTATCCACAGATGGAAATGTTAGCGTTTCGGTGCTGTCAATTACTCCCTCGAGGGAAGATCATGGCAAGTCATTATCTTGTCGAGCTACCAACGAGTTGGTGCGCAATGGCATTAAGGAAACAGCCATGAAACTAAATGTATTCTGTAAGTAACCAATAAATGACTATTAACTTATATACAGAAGCCCTATCAAACAATTGCTCTTTACGGTATTTACAAGTTGAAACAAATAGTAGGAATGCAAAGTTCATATGCTACAGTGAAGGCATATGAGAAGAAGTAGAAAGTATCAGAAATATTCATAATTTTCTGATAAAAAAATTTATTTTCTTTACTTGATTTTAAAAATTAATTAAACTTGTGAAAACAATAAGAATGTGTAAATATTTTATATGCACACGTACTTAAAAATAATCAACGAAGAATTATTATTATTATTGCTGCTGAAAATATGTGGCAATATTTGCACAAAAAACCATTTTAAATCATTTCTGAAAACAACAAAAACAAAGTTTTACAAAACTTGTGGCAACCACAAAATTAAATTTTTTCAAGGCTTCCATGGCAAAGTTTTGTTGGAAAATCGTTTCCAAAAAAAAAAAACAAATGTAAAACTATTTAAGTGCGTGTGCTGGGGTTCTACGTGTATCGATGTAGGTCTGTGAAGATACTTTGAATTCTGTTCACGCACGGCGCCCTACGTAGATATTTCAATGTGAAGAAAAGTTTATCTTTTAGTTACAGATGAAACTAATCTTATGAGTATATACAGGGTGTGTTGTTAAGATCTAAAATATTCGTGATGGCATTTAATTTAAACGGAAATTTATGATTTATCTGCAAAAGATTTCAGCAAAATCCACTTTATTTAAGGGATCTCATATATATTGCACAATATGTAATTTCTTATAGTATTTTATTAGTGATATGTTTTTGTTAATTCAATATATGTTAGTAGTTGTTTAAAGTATTACATATATAGCACAGATTATTCACAAATAAAATAAGTAATGACCACAAACTACAACTGCATATCAGTAACTCCAGTCGGACTTATATTTATAATAAATTATAAATCATATTCCTGAATTTTAAAAGAATATTCTTGATTATAATATTTAGAAAAGAAATCCAGATAATTATCTATACAAGGAAAATTTAAAAAAAATAACTTCGCAGTATACTTTCTGTATATTGTACTGTGTAAGTAATACTTAAGCTGCAGCTTACTTTTAAGCATCATAGTGTAGATAGGAAGAAAATAATCAAAGCTTAAATTAATAACGTATGGAACAGGTTTTTCACAAATATTAATTTTAATCTGCAAATTAAATGAAAACTATTTCAAGCTATATGTGGAGTGATTACATCATACCGTACTCATGTCTATAGTAACAGAGGTTATAGAGTGAAGTTCATAAACTGCAACTTTACTTCAACAAAAAATTCTTAATACTTCCTGTAACAGCCCCATCATATATTATTGCCCTAGAAATCAAAAAATAGAGAGTTTTATCTTTTTACCTCGGGTACTTTCTCATTATTCAAGTTAACAAAGGTTATATGCTCTCTTAAATCTTCACTTGAAATAGATTTACAAGACACTGCCAAAAATTCTATTAAAAGAGACCAGAAAAAATACATCTAGGGCAAAAGAAATTAATATTTTCAATATTTTGAAGAAAGACTAATCGAATAATTCGAAGTAACCACAGAGAAGGCCTTGTAAAATAAATATAGATAAAAAAATAACTCAACAAGTATATACCATATCTATAAGTACATGGATTTTGCAGTTATGTCAAGGGATTCAGATTGTGTAGTAAAAATTATGAAAAACTTAGAAATTTAGAGTGTAGTTTTTGTAATTTAGTTGGAACACAAGGTAATCTTTACTTCTTATAAGATATTTTGGAAAAGTCCATTTAAATAAAGTTCAACAATATTGATTGGAGGAACCTTACTACAATTAAAAAATATTCTTAAACAAAAAGTATATAGTATTTATTACTGGAATTTATTTTTGGGCTTCATTTTTTAAAAAAAATTTTACTCAAATTCCGAATGACGATCTTCAGAATCATGGTAGGGTTATGTATTATCAAATGAAATATAACTAATACAACATATATATAACATGTGCAAGATATCACCCAATATGACTGAAAGTTTTAGTTGTAGAAACACATAGACAAAGGCTTCAAAAAATCATTGAAGTTTTTATAGTTCCATTGAGTTTGACGCTTATGCAGTTGATAAACGAAAAAATCTAAAAACTGCTAGCCTAAAAGTATTGAAGATAATTTTCAACCATTCCCCATACTTAAGCATATGTATGATTGAAAATTGTAGATTTTTTGAAAGTGTGGCGATATTTGATTGAACTAAACTGTTTTAGCAGATTTAAATTTTTTTCTAATCCCAACACTACTTAAAGCAATAAAAGAGACAAAAAACAGAAAGTGGAGAGAATCGATCTGTTGTAGTGTCCAGTGTTCTAATTAGTAACTTTAGAAATATTCTATTTAATTTTTCTTTATTTTTTTATTATTATTTTTTTAAATTTTCATGTGGCAGGACCCGAGTTCGATTCCTGGTACTTGCAGTCTCAAAAATAATTATTTCCAATACTACTGATTAAGGGTATTTGGCAATACTCGAAACAGCTGTATGGTCACCCAAAAATTCAATTAATTAAAATAATATAAGAAATAAAATTTTTGTTGTTGTAGTTCACTACTGTTCGAAAACCCCCTTTAAATTTTATATAAATTACTTTTCAACTGCACTTATAATTTTCATACAACAATCTATATCATATGCATTTTATCCGACTTGTGAAATCTTTCCCCTGAAAATATTAAGTTGGTGGGGGGAGGGGGGCATGTGTAAACTAAAGACCACACATATGTGTGCTCCTAAGTATTGTATATTTGTCTTCAAGTTTGATTTCTTTTTGTTTTTTCTTATTTTTCCGAAACATAAAATTTGATAAAAATTTCAATTTCCAAGCTCATTTACATTTGCATGGCGTGCCTGATAATATCGAGAAAATGTTCAGAATAAGAAAAAGTATTGCGACATGAAAAGGAAAATTGTTTTCATAAGAAAATTGAAAAACACATAAATTGCTTCTTTTTGGTTGTATCTCGTATCTCATAGCTGCTTGTGGCGAATGAAGTTGTTAAGTTAAAATTTATGTTTTTTGAAATAAAACATAAAAATTATAAAAGGTTTTGTTTGTAAAGTGAAATGTGTGACCCGCACGAAGCGAACTTCTATCGAATTTTAAAAATTACCATTTGAAGAAACAAAATATAATAATTTTTTTCGCTGTTCATAAACGCAACCGTTCAAGAATTAATTTAATTTTGCGAATCAGAACTTACAAAGACGTCAACATTATTTGTGAATATACACATTTATTTAAAGATATTGAAATTATCTACATTACATATAAAGTTTATGCTGCAAAAATACGTAATTTAATATTCAATTATTAGTTTTTATCCTGCATGTGTGAATATGTAGTCGTGTGTAGTCAATTAATCATTAATTTAAAAATTAATAACAGCAAATATGCTAACTAGTCGCGCCATAGAAAATAAAAAAATAAAACTGGAAACAGTGACAGCTAACTGCACTAAAAAATGAAGGAAAGGAGCGCCTCGCTTAACCTTAACGAATTTATTGAATTTATTATTATAGAATGGCATAATAATATATTTGTTTAATATATTGATTTACCAAAGAATTTCATATTCGGTATCCATATACGCGGTCTAGATCTAAGGGGAGCACAGGTTTCCTTTGCTGGTTTCATACACCACAGCTTCATGAAGATGATGTCTGGACATTTCGATGCAGTTTCGTGATGCAATTTTTTTCAATATTCAGGGCGGATTAGAAAAAGCACTGTTGTTATTTTAAAATCTGTTATTTTATAATCAAGTTAAATGTAATTTTATCGTGTTTATCGTCAGTTAGAAGTGTGCTGTTACTCACAGCTTTACTGATAACAACGTTCTTCTTCTAAAGAGCGTAATTTAGATTCCTCAATAATGTTTTCTGAAAAGCAAGAGGTTTCGGAAGTCTTTTTCCATCCGTCCGGTAAAGGCTGCGTTGCCCACAGCGACAAATCATCATATACGATGATCAAGGACCATATTAGGGATATATAATTGTTGGTAATGGTAATACATCACACAAAAACGGAGTCATTAATACAACATAATGTAATTTGGTATCAAGAGTGCTTCATATAAAGATATCCGAACTATACCGAAAGTATAACAGCTGGTGTTAAAATAAATTGAAGCAAATTTTAAAGATGAATTTGGCATCAGTACTAAGTAATATTTGTACGGTCCCGGGTTCACGGCGCAATGCGATCAATAAGGTTCTAAGTATTTCTAGACTAAAGTGGTACATAAATGTATTTTTAGAGCACCCATGTTTTAGTGACTTAGTTTATGCAATTTGCTTATCGCTACTTTCGAAATTTAGTTTCTAATCATATTTTTTTTTTATTTTCTATAAAAATTATGGAAGATTGAGAATTCATATAATCTGCACATGACTATACAAGTTTTAGAAAGTAATTCAAAAATCATTTAAGAAGTGTTACCCATGGCAAATAATCTTTTAATAGTCATGACTAAGTAATGAGAATAGCGTAGATATTATACAAGAATTTACTGGAAAAATTTTTTTCAATGCACTTAATAAGAACTTTATATTCAATTAAAGTCGGTTTTTGTTTTTTGATATATTAACATTTATTTGGAACCTTTTATTTTATGCAATATTTTATTATTAACACAAACGTTCATAGGATATCAAATATCGTATTGTACTAGAATATGATCCGTTGCTTTACTTTTTTTTCGCTTTTGTGCCATTCCGTGTGATTCTTTGAAGTATTTAATTGTTACCGTTATTTGTATTTGGGTTTTCAGTGCTGTTAACTGGCATTTTATATTTTTTTCGCAGTTTGTTTAGTGTAGTCAGCTGGTACTTTGCTTAGTTGTTTGGTGCTGTCAGCTGACATTTTATTTTAATATATATTCAAGTTGAGTTACGTACTAATTATTTGAGTAAAGGAGTTTATTACATATTTGACAGAACTATTCATATGCAGTGTGACATATTTAAGTAACTAATGTAGAGAATGTAAATGAATTTTTTAAAAGTTTACGGTCTGATCCAATCGTGAATTGTGAGTTAATTACACTAAAATATCCGTATTAAAATAGCTTCATAATTAATTTTAAAATTTAAATACTTTTCTTCAAGATTTTGTGTTTTTCTCTATTTTTTCTTGTATTCTCAAATCCCATTCAATCTCATCTTATTGTAGCAAAATTTAATCTCATTTGCAAGATCCTGTCGTGTGGAATATGTTCAAAGTGCATGCAATCTTTTCGGTACCAATTTTCCACGCTTATGCTCTTTGTCAAAGTAATGCCAAAGTAAAAGTAGTTTTTAAATTAGAATGCATATCCTTCCTATTCTAAGAGAAAAAAACGTAATGAATGCTTTTAATTTAAATTTGAATAAATTTGAAAAACTTTTGCTTACGCATGAAAAATCCTTAAATTCTTTGTCTTTCACTGTTTGCTTTTCTATTTAAATTACTAAAGACCCAACTACTGTCCTTAAGTATAGTTATTTTTGAGAAGCAAGTAAGAAAATATATTTAAACCACCCATATATATTTTATATGTATATGTATAATTGTTATGTATAAAATAACTATCTTATAAAGGCTTTCATATTTATATGAAAGACATTGCAATTGTGTCTGCATTTTAGAATTCTCGTATATAGAAGGTAAGTTGACGTATTTATGTGCATGTATGTAAATTTTCTTGATATATATATATATATATATATATGTGAATATATAATATTCACAATTTCATAGCATGAAAATGCATTAAGTTATGCTGCATAAATGCATTTTTAAGAATTTCAGTTCACCTGTGTTTTCGTTTTTTTTTTATTTCAGTATCTAAACTATGAGATTCTCCTTTTTGCTTTGCAAGTCGCTGCATATTTGTGTCAAAAGGATGTGTTTCCACGTTTTGCTTTTTTATTTATGCCTTGTAATTATAATGTATATACTACATAAATATTTACAAAACTGTTTCTTCTCATTTTTTATTTTTTTATTTTATTTTATTTTTATTTTTTTTTTATTTTTATTTTGACTCAATATGACACTGCACGTCATGCATTTTTATGAAAACTGCGCGCCTTTATGAAATCTTTCTGAAATATAAAATGAGCTTCACATATAACATATTTTGCGATTTTTCTACTTTTCAGCTTCATAAAGTGCAGCTAACGAAAGTATCTCATAACACCTTGAACTTGCGCTGGTTTATTTTTGCATTTCATTTTAAAAATAAGACAGAAAATTTAATTCAAAGCTCAAATATTTTGTTGCGATAAACAAAAATGCTTAAAGATAAAAGCAGCGTCGCTAAATTATTTTGGTTAATTAAAATGTTTGTAATTTTTCGCTGAATTAACTTCAAAGCTGACATTAAACTTCTAACTAAAATATTATATCTACAACTAAGCCAATTAAGGCAATAACTTAACCATAACATTTTATTTGATTCATAAAAATTACGGTTTAATGCATTTACGTGCCGTAAAGTTTTTTGGCTAATTAAATTTGGTGTTAAAATATTTTTATTAATTTTGTTTGCACCTAAGCAGTAAAAAAAAGAAACTAAAATCACATCTACATAATTTCATTCTAAATTATTTTGAATTTAATATTTAATATACCTCAACTAAGTATTATGTAAATACACGCCAAAAGAAAGTCAATGCAGATAAGTATTCTGAGAGATTGAAGCGATAAAGAAAATAATTGCATTTAATTAAGATTTAACAGAATACATTAGCAAGTCAATAATTAAAAGTAGAGTTGGAATTGCCGCTACGATATATTCGTTCAACTGAATAGACATGAAGTAGTAAAAAATCAGAAATAATGGCTTCCAAAATATAAGATTAGGATACATGCAGCAGCGATAACAAAACTGGAGTTACCCCCCAATTAAAGTATTACCAAATTATTATTGAAACTTCAAGAAACGGTTACGCTGTCCACGACAAATAACTGTTTTAACAACTGTTTTCTGCCGCTCGGAAGTGAGTCAAAAAATTACAGGTTTCTAACTAAATTCCCTAAAACCTCGCGTAAACTAACAGCAGTAGTCTCCTGCTCAAAAGAACTAGTTAAGAAGTCTCTAATCAGGTAAGAAACCATACAGTTCAATAGTATTGAAGTGATTATCGATCTAATTTATTGAAACTTATATCGGAAAAAGACAGTATTTAAATCAATAAACTTAAAAAATCAGTAGAATTGCAAATCTTTTTCGTTCACATATATTTTTATATAATATATATATATACACCTTGTGATCAAAAAAGAACTTATTCGTACTTTTTTTGAATTCCCGCGTTTATCCAATCAGTAAATTTTTTTTATTTTCACGCTGGCAACACTATTATACACATTCTGTCAAAGTTTAACAAAGAAGTCCAAAAGTTTTCGTGTGGCGATTTTTAGCTGAATTTTATTCAAAAAAAGCGTCATTGTGATGTGGCCAAAGAGATGATTTCCAACGCAGACAGTGACCCCAAATCCCACATTCATCGAATGCATCATAACTGGTGACGAGACAAGGGTCTATGAATTTGATATGCCCACCAAACAACAATCGACCGAATGGTGAGCCGAAACCGAAAAGAGAACGCCAAAGTCGGTCCAAAATCAAGGTTATGCTGACTGTTTTCTTCGATATTCGTGGTGTGGTGCACTATGAATTCCTTCCGGACGGTTAAATGGTCAAACGGTCAATAAGGAGTATTATTTTGCCGTTATGCGTCGTTTACGTGAGGCTATTCGCAAAAATGGCCAGATTTATGGAAGGAAAACTCATGGATTTTACACCACGATTTTTTTTAAATTCTCATTCTTTTTTGATCATGAGGTATAATATATGTAAATCACATATATATTTTATATATAATGCTTTTTATATATTTGTTATCCAGCTATAGGTCACTTTTTGTTAAAATTGATATTCAACCATTTTTAAAAAAACAAGTCAATATATATATAAATATATATATATATATATATACAATTTTACAAATTAATTAATTTTTAAACATATTTAAATTATCATCGATATAAATTATTGACAATTTTTTTTAATTTTTGTATTTCTTCATTTGCTTTTGGTTTGTTTAAGTAAACTTTTCCAATGCATTGCAATTTTAAATTATTTATGGTTGTGGTCATGCTTCCATATAAGAGCATAGGGCAGGAACCAATTTAATATTACTTTATATATTTATTTTTGCCCTTTTTTATCTTTCTTAACTTTAATTCTACAGCTTTATTAAATATAAACATTTTCATAATGAAATCCGCTTAGAAAAACTCCTTAATGAATACACAAAATTAAAAGGGAATCAATGAATGAGAACCGGAACCACAACCAGAACGAAAACGAAAGCAGAATTCAGAGGAGCGATACTAATCTGAGATAATCATAGATTAACCCTTTTCTGTCGTAGTAAAAATATTAGCACAGCCACAAAACTTGTGTTCGAGCAAATATAGAAAAAGTATCTAAATACAAACAAAAAGTGGGGATGAATGTAATCTATTTTAATTTTTTTTTATACATATATACATTGATTTTTTTTACTTAAGCTGCTGTAAACATAAACATAAAAATATTAAGTTCATAACAAAAGGGCACCGTAATGAATGATAATTATTTAAAAAATAATTTTACAAGACTTTCTTATAAGATGCATAAATATTAAGTGATTACTAAGTAATTTGTTATTAACATTTATTTTTCCTATTTCAGTTATACCAACCTTACAATTAGATTTGGGCTCAAATTTAAATCCTGAAGATATTGAAGAAGGTGACGATGTATACTTCGAGTGTAAAGTTCATGCTAATCCAGCAGCCTATAAAGTTGTATGGAAACATAATGTAAGTAAAGAAAAAGTTAATGAAATTATTTATTGGCATTATGTATACAATACATATTAATATGTATAAACAAATATACTTTGCAATACGTAAAAGAGTATATAGCAAAAACACAATGCAACATAAATTATAAAATTATTTATTCATATAATGTACATGTTTAGACATAATTATTGTGTATATACTTACCACTACATATAAAAATACATATCAGAGATTCATGTCGATTTACTTGTATATATGCTGAAATGGTATATCAAAGAGTAAATAAGATCATTGCCTCAATTAGTTGGCAAATTTAACTATCTCAAGAATTGGAGATAGTGTTTGCACATCGAATTGCAATGCTTCAGGTGAGGTTTCAAGTTAAATATACTATAAGCGTCGTATTGAAATAAACACAATTCTGAACTTAAGCTAGACTTCAGTTATTAATGTGGGTTAAGGTGGCAGTACCAAAAAGATGATTTGATGCTGACAGCACAGTGAGTAAGGGTGACGAATAGTGACGTAGAAAGATTTTGGTTTATTTTTAGTCAATAACTTTTATTGTTTCCAAAAGGACATACAATAAATTTACAGATAAATCTTATTGGGGAACAGAAACTTAAATTCCTAGATTACTAACTATTAATTAAGTCCACAAATCCACATATTTACAACGTTTTAATTTGCTTTGTTTCGCTAAGAGAATTTGTAGCTCAAATATAAATTGTCTCCATAAGCGCACTATGTTGTTCTGGAGTTTTATTCGCTTATAAGTCGTCAAATTTTTACAAAGCATTAAGGAAGTTTAATTTTCTATTATATTTTCTCATTTAATTTTATGTCACTCCCTTGTTCTGTATGTTATCCTATGAAGTACATAGGTACTCTTAAAAGAAAAAATCTTTTTTGCATTATTTTTTTTAACTTAGTGTTCTCAAAAGATGGCGGTCATTAAAATTTGGTTGGACTGCATATATACTTAACTATGTAAATCGAAAACACTAGCATTTTGCTAAATTTAAAAAGATAGATCCTTAATAACTTTAATAGAGATCTATGCATACTCCGCCGTATTTACTACAATCAAAAGTAGCTTCAATCCGATCCACTTCCTTTTTGTATGTGATCTCTAATCATTTTTTTGTGAAGTAATTCCCCGTGGTACTGGCTACAAGAGCAAGAAATATGAGAAGTACTGCCAACCTTTGAGCAGCAGTCATTAGCTACTGAGTACAGTATAATTGGATAATAGTGAGAGCCGTTACCTAACATAGTCAGGGACTGTAGCTTAATCGTTACTAATAATTATGAATTGCTAAGTATTCGCAATAAGAATAAACATCACTATTCTGAGTTGATTTTCATTTGTTTCCATCATATTATAATAAAAAGTTAGAGTCCAATTAAATAAATGTTTGATTTCATGAAATAATTAAAATTACTTTAATTTACCATAATTACATTTTTTATTGACTGAATAGACTATTGCTTTTATATGCAATATTCACATAAGAATGCAGTGTGCAGGAGCTAAAGTCGGCTTTGTTATGGATGTAATTCATTATTTCCCACACCCAACCTTAGTACTACAGTACGGTGTGACATTTAGTAGTCTCAGTTGTAGTCGTTTATTGTTTTCAGTTTCTATTAAATACTCATACTCGTATCAATTCAATCTTAAATTTACTATTATTAAGATATCAATTACACGATACTGCTTATTCATTTCATTTATTGTTATTTTAATAGTTATTGTCATTATTTTGATTAGTTTCAATTTCAAATTATACAAAAGAAAATTGATTATTTGTCATTGAATTTTAACTTTTCAATTTCAAAAATGTATAAATTGGTTCACACATTAACACATATAAAATTCTGTGTATGATAAACAAGATACAAAATACAGCTACTTTGTATAGATACAAACTGCAATTTAATAAAATTGATTCAATTAAATAAATCAGGTTAGAGTGCCAGCAAAATTGGAATTATTTCTGCCAATTTGAATTCATTTAAATTTGTGCAAAACTAAATTTATAAAATTCTGAAGTAAAAACAAACTTATAATATAAATTTATAAAATAATTTAATAATATATTACTAGAAATTACAAAAAGAAGATATTTTACTAATGAAAAATTCATATATATATATTAAGTAAACTAGAATTTCATTTTATCTTAATACCTCCATATCAAATAGTAATTAATCAAAAGGAATATTTTTGATTATTATCCCATATGGGAACATCATATATTAATATTAATTGGTTAGTTATTATATACATTCAAATGCATATTTTGTAGAGGAGTTCCTAAAGTAATTAATTCGTATTTCATAAATTAAAGATATATTCTAATTAAATATAAAAAACGATTTGAAAACTGTGAAAAACTGTGAACTCAAAATTATACAAATTACGCTTTATTTATTGTATTGTATAGGTCTGTTTTTCCTTTCCCTTCCCTTTACTCTCCCTTTACTGTCCCACTCCTTTCCCTTCCCTTACCTTTCTCTTTTCTTTCCCTTTCATTTCTCTTCCCTTTCCTTTTCCTTTTCCTTTTCTTTCACTTTCCTTCGCGTGCCTTTCCTTCTCCAACTTTGGTGTATTGAACAATTTGGTACTGAGTATGACACATAATTCTCTCGATTATTGGAGACAGAGAACTTAGTTTAAAACAAAATAACTTCCAACGCTCTAGGAAAGCTAATTTAGCGCTTCTTCTATTTTAAAAAGCTATTGTAAGAAGTGGTGATTACAGTCACGCATCGTGTAATTGCTCTATACGGCTGTCATAAGGCATATACTGTTGTATGGCATTACAGTATGGTAGACGGTCTGAAACAAATTTTCGTACTATAAAACACTCAACAGAGTATTAGTTGTGCATTGAATACCAAACCATTTACTGCGTTGGACGAAATGCTTTACTCACCGTCGCTTGATCTTATAAATAAACAAATGATAGCATAATCTACTCTTAAATATGAAGCTACTTTGTGAAATAGGTAAGTAACTGTGGCCATGGCTCCATTCTAAATCTTTTCAGTCCGACTCCATAATTCAGTAAATTCATCTCTTCCACTTTGAATTTCGATAGAAATTTAATGTGCAGTTTCCATCTAGAAACATCTGACTATCGGAAGGTTTCTAATTAGGAGAAAGTTCTGATCATTGCAGTGCTTCTGAGGTGAAGGTGATCGCTATTGAGGAAACTATAACGTGTCTAGTAGTGGATAATATATTTAATTGGAATCCATATACATTAAGACTGAAAAGTTTTCGGAAATTCTCATTTAAAATTCGCGCGCTGTATATTTTTCGATA